TCTCTCTCTCTCTCTCTCTCTCTCTCTCTCTCTCTCTCTCTCTCTCTCTCTGTTTGTGTGTGTGTGGTTCCTGTATGCCTCTAATACACAGTGAGGACAGAACAAAATGTTGGGGAATCTGTCCTCTCCTTTCACCTTCTATTTGAGGCAGGATCTCTCTTGGTATTTCTGCTGCTTTGCTGTTCTCCAGCATACCTGACCTTCAGTTGTAAGAACTTCTGTTTTCTCTTCTTATTTCACTGTGGGGATGCAGGAATTACAGATGCATGCTGCTTTTTAATTTTAATATTTTATATATGTTCCTAGGTCCTGGGGATTGAGTTTGGGTCATCAAGCCTTTGTGGCCAGAACATTTACAACTTGAGACATCCCACTGATGTCACTTAGATTTTTTTTTTGTCATTTATGTTTCTTTTTCCAAGGAAGTCCCTTTGAAATGGTTCCTAGAACATCAATTCTCTAAGATGCTTTTATCAAGACTCTTATACTAAGCATTGCTAAATTTAACAATAAGTTAATCTTTGGTGGAGTTTTCCTTCTCCTCTCCTATTTCTGTCCCTTATATATTAAGCCTAAATGAATGACACCTTGTTTTTGAAGGTGACAGTCATTGCCTAGCGCTCATTTCCTATGGCTCAGCTATCTGACTGGCAGAGTGTGGAACTCTCTGTGTAAAATGGTCCAGGCTTCCTTACTACCCTGAGCCTAATCTGCCTTCAAGAAAACAGATGACTAAAATAATAGGTATTGTTTAACCAGGGAGTACATTCATGCAGTAACACATGTGGTTGAACAAGGAGGGTTATTAATGCAATAATATGTTCTCAGCTCTTTAACATAAAATGAAGTAATTGCACAGCTGACTTTCAAAGTTTATTTTCTTAGCAGATATTCTTTCCAGTCTACCAAACTTTACATCCACCAACAATGGGAAAACAGTTCAACTTGCCTTTTCTGGCACTGGGATTCAGAAACACATTGACTTAACCAGGATGTGTAATTGATTTATGTATAATACATTTTCTTCTTATAGACTGGACTAAGGTTGTCACTTCTTCCTTTCCCTGTGCTTTTCTGATTCCTTGCCCACATTTCCTTTGCACCCCATTCTCATTCTTTTAGAAATCCCTTTCTCCTTTCTTTCTCCATGGCTTCTGCTTTCTTCTCCCCTCATGTCTCCCCTCCCCTCCCCTCCCCTCCCCTCCCCTCCCCTCCCCTCCTCTCCTCTCCTCTTTTCCTTCCCTTCCTTCCCTTCCCCTCCTCCCCTCTCCTCTTCTCCTCCTCTCCTCTCTTCTCTAGTGTCTGCTCAACCTTTTCTTCCCTCCCCTTTATTCCTTCTCTCTTCTGCTTCTGCCTCTCATATACACTCACTAGAATAAGCTACATATATGTCCTTATTTATTCCTTTCCATTGTAAGATGTTATATTTTTATATTCACCAAATAAAAATGTGGTATATGCCTTGTTTCATTGCATAAGTTCATGGACAGAAAAATGCACCAAGTGTTGTTGGTTCTTAAGAGTTATTCTTGCAAGTGAGGGACATATGGCTGTGACATCTGACACTCCCATAACCTGCCAGGCAGATTCAGGTGATGTGGCTACTCCAGATGGCTCAGGTCCAAACCAGAATGCTTTATTGACAAGGATGACTTTTCCTTACAGAGGAGAATGGTCATCGGTGAAGAGCCCAGAAGCAGCCGAACTCATGTTAGAACCTCCAAATATGCTCTGGGGAGGGGCTCTCATGTTTATCCCACAACTGTCCTCACTTCTACACCTCACTCAATTTTTCAATTATTTTACTTCCTGAAGTCAACTCTCTAATTGGGTATAAAAAAACATGGCTAATTGACATTTTAATGTATTATTATATAAAATACTTATTGTGTATGTACATATGTGTGCATGTGTATGTGTGTGTGTACATATGTGTGTATGAGAGTGTGTTTGTGTGTGTTTGCATGCCATGCCATGCCTATTGAGTTGATAAGACATCACCCAGGAGATGGTTCATTTTGCATCACTTGGGTTTTTCAAAACTGAACTCAATTTGTCAAATTTGGTGGCAAGGAACTTTACCTACTGAGCCATCTTGTAGTCCCTAATGTGTGAGTTTATTATGTAATGAGGGTAAAGTGTATTCAAATTATTTTCTCATATTTCTTTTATCTTTCCTGCTGAATTTGATGATTGCAATGTAAATGATAGAAAATACAATAGTGCTGCTTGGATGCTATCATTTTCATTTAGTCTGTGGTGTTTTCTTAAAGTCTCTCATGGAATCACTTCCAATATAAAAATCTCAACAATTGTACATATTATGATTTTCTTATCAAAGGATGTATTTGGTGGGAAATGACCAAATTAAAAAGGGCTTCTACTTTCCTAATTTATCAGAATATTTTTCCATTTTTATCTTTATGGCTTTGTAGTTGTCCCTTTGAGTGTAGTTTTCAGAGCCATCTCAAGTCTATTTTCATAGGCAACATAGGAGAGACAAATGTTTAAAAAATTTAAATCTAATAACAAAGTAGTTTCTGCATTGTCATTACATACTCAATGGATTCTTTCTCTGTTTATCTGTGGGACTGCATTTACCATCCTTTGAATTTTTATATGACATGTGTTAGATATTTTTTTATCAACATGAGAAAACACCTGGCAAACAACTTAAGAGAAGAAATGTGTATATGGTTTGTGGTTTCACAGTTTGAGGTTCATTGTAGTAGTATGGCATGGTAGTGGTCACAGTCACCTGAAAAATATTCATCTAAGTTAACCGAGAGTGTCTAGCTGTTAATGAGCTCAGACCTGCTTTGCATGTCGGGAGGTCAGAGGCCAGCTTTCAGAAGTCCTTTCTCTCCTTCTTCTGTGTGGACTTTACAAAGGAAGAGCTGTAACATTCTCACTTAAGGATGAGAAGCATAATCATTAGAATCACGAACTGTCACTCTCATTGGAAGGATGCTAGGGCAGACACAGATTCACACAGTGAACTTTTATTCATTTATGTATGTGTTTTTCAGGTGTATGAAGTCTGAAGAGAAGCCACTTGGAGTTGGATTACAGGCATTTTACATGAGACTATTTGGTATGAAGAATTTCCCAATATATCAGATCAATATTAAGTGCTTAGTTAGCCACTTAATTTTTCCTGAATAAGAAAATACAACTATCTTGTCAAAACAAAATGCAACTCTCACCTTAAAGGGAATATGAGTCTATTCTCTAATCAAACTTGAGTGACCATGTTATATAGTTATCCAAATATGTTCCAGCAGGAAGACAGTTTTATGTTCTTTATAGTTAGAGAACAAAAGAATTCATGAATAAGGTATTTCTCAAATATACCTGTGGAAACATCAGGTAGGTTGATTACAGCAAAGCAGGTAAATCTCTGTTCTAGGCTCAAATGCTATATGATGGCATTCTTAGTGTTTGGGTGAGTGGAAGGTAGTAACTTTCTAAGCCAGTACATCCTCAAAGATTCAAGGGACAATCAAACAAATATATGGTCCGAGACAGGGATTGGGTAAGGAACGATCAATAAAAGGGGATAAAGATAACCTTGTCCCTGGATCTGCAGCATTCCAGCTATCCATATCCAGGAAGTTCCTGTGACCTTGCAGCATATTTAGCATAGGTGTTCTTTGCCCACTTGACACTGAGTTTCAGTTTACAAGCTTCATATCTGGAACCGGCAACTTGTAATTCATCTGAGAATGAAGTAACTGTAGGGATGAAAACTGTTTTCTCTCTTCTTTAAAGACCTTAACTGAACTTAATTTTACCTTTCATATTTTAGAAGTTTCAAGAATAAGATGGGAATGAAATGATTTTGTTAGTTGGCTGTACCGAAAACCAATAGAAAATGTTTCAGAAAATACATGCTGTTTATGATTATGAAGTCCATGGATGGTTTCTTAGCATCTTGCATATAACTGTCATTTATTGTGATCTAAAAATTTACAATGAACTTACAATTTCTAAAAGTATGTTTAGAACATGTGATTCATAATTTGTTATATTGTTTTTTTAAATAGGTGAATTGAAATACTTCCAGATAAAATAACATATTTCTGTTTTTTCCTTATTCTTGTCAATGAGCCTTTTCTTTGGTTACATTTTTATTTATTTATTTATTTATTTACTTATTTATTTTGTCTTTTTCTCTCTTCATTGTAGCTGGCATTCCTGCACCTATTTACTTTGGTGCTTTGATAGACAGAACATGCTTACATTGGGGAACTCTGAAATGTGGTGGGTCAGGGGCCTGCAGGACATATGAAGTAAACAGCCTCAGGTAAAGATAAACTTTGAGAGAAACTTTTGTAATATAAAATTTCCCCATTCATATCTAACTTTTTTGAGTAATAAGATTATATATGGCTTCATTTTCAAAACACACATGGATGGTATAGCTTCCTTATTTAGATGGAGGTTACCTAGTATGGCAGAATGCTAGACACAAACAAGACAGCCAAGTCCAGATACCTAGGATAATGGTGCAGTATGTGGGAGCAAATTCCTTCAGCCTCTACTACCTCA